TATATATATGCTTTATATGGCCAATAGTGATGAAAAGGCGATGGCATCCGATTGTGCACCGGATATTGCCACCTCAGCAGGGACCACACCAAATAACGCAATTTCAGGAGCAGGGCTTATCACCTTGTCACAGATATGAGAAAATGCGTCAAACATTGAAGACCAAAACTGTACCAACTTTGGGCATGCCCAAAACATATGGTAGAGGGTGGCCGGAGCCTGAAAGCATCGGGAGCAGGCCTGATCCACATCTGGATACATCCTGGCAAGTCAAACGGAGACAAATGGAGCCTGTGGAGCACTTTAAACTGGAGCAAACCATGTCTGATACAGATTGAACTTGAATGTATTCTCTTAATTGCACTTTGCCAGGAGCCACCTGAGACTTCAAATCCCAGTTCCTCCTCCCACGCTGCCCTAATATTATTAAGTGATGGAGAGGCAATCATTTGAATACTCTCATACAATCTGCTCACTCCCCCTCTTTGATTTGGATCTCCATCCAACCACTGTCATTTGGCAGGAGTGACGGAAAGGAAGGAAAATGCATCTGAACAAAGGACGCCAAAATAATTTAGACTGATCAGCAGCACTACAGGTGAGAGGAAAAATATGCATTTTCGATTTTTGGGCAAATTGTCCCTTTAAATTGGTCAGCTTGACCCAACACATAACCAATTACAGCACCCACACTACCATACTGTATAGTATGCCAGAAAGATATTTAGTATGTCCCAATATGGAAAATGAAGTATGCCAAAAATACCAGGATGTTCGATTACATCTGGTCCAGTTTTGCAGTCTGTAAGCCAGCATGCTTTTCTGGCTATTCTGACCCACAATCCTCTGCACAGCATATGATACGTCACATCAACTGAGCCGCAAACAGATGACATTCATTGACAGCTGACAGAAGTCTCAGTGATGGAAGACAGAACATTCAAGTCACTGATGACCAGTAGAATAGCAATAATAGGAATATTGATTGTTTAAGTTAACAAAATAATCATAATTATTACACACATATCAACAACAATTATCTCCAAGGTAACAGATATAAAAGTGTCAAAGTTCAGGGTGTGATGTTACTGCATGTAACAGTACGTACTTTTTAAGGGCAACTGCAGTACATACTAAAAGTAAAAGGAGAAGTATGCAATTTGGAACGCACCCCGAATTTTATTAACATGTAAATTAATGAGGAGATTGGAAGTGAATTATGGTACTTCACATCCGCTCCACCTCTCTGACTCATTCACTACACACCATTCATTTGTTTTGTCACAAAACCCACTGAATACTTTTTCCTGCTGGAAATTTGTCTTTGAATTGAATTGCTGCACTCCAGTCTTTATTTTTTTTCACTTTCCATAATACCACTTTCCAATTTTCTCTGGCAGTTTGTTTCCTTGTTTGTTTGCTTCCATTTGAGAATCCTCTGCATCACGCTGTTTTGTTGACTTGCCAGATCTCTGTAGGCTCTTTCCCTGTGACGTCCTTTGAGACACACTTCATGAAGAGGGAAATTAACTTGACATGAAACTCAATGAGAAACACTCAGCATTCCCTCAGAAATGACTAGTCCCACCCTGAGGCGGAGCAATTAAGCCCTAATTCCTCCACTGGAACTAATCACTATTGGATTATAGTTTCACAGACAGCACTCAGGTGGTGATGCCAGGTAATGTGAAAGTGTTGTGGAGATAAAATATCACAGGCTCAGCCGACTTCACCGGGATCACTCGGTCATAAAAACAACACAAACTGCACTCGGGTTCTTTCAGGACAAATCAAATGTTTGAAGCAGAGGGAGCAAAGGCATCAACTGCTGGTCAATATCTGTGTGCAAGACAACACACCATCGACATAACCTGAAAATGCTGTGTGTATGGACTTGATATGCAGCTTTAGTGCTCCCCTGTGGTGACAGAGGGCACTGCATGGGGCATTCAACAAGTGCCAGGTTCAGTTTATTTCATAGATACAGCAAAGACAGCCACATGCTTTCTACTCTTTACAGCTTTTTGTCATCAGTGGAGCATATCGTATGTATAATAATATACAAGACATGACTCAGCTGGCCTCCCTGTGTTGTGTGTTTTTGCCCTGTGTTGTTGTACTAGTGAGATTTACAACACACAAAGGCCATCCTCAATGTTTTTACGTCACCCACACACAAAGCAGCCGATATGCTTCAGGCAGTGGAAATGCATTTGATAAGGCTTCACACCCCGTTCACATATCAGGGGAGATTTGTGCCACCAGATATGATTCAGAATTGTGTAACCGATCAAAGGTTACCTCTGATAACATACAGAGGTGGAGACGAAAGGCAACTCCAGTCAGTGTCAACGACGTTGTTCCAACAGGGGGCGCTTGGTTGGAGAAACAGATTTTACCTGCAATATTTAAAGTGAACTGCTGGGTGTTTATTTAAACTTAAATATCTTATAATCAATATTACAGGCTGCTGACTTGAAGGAGGTGAAATGTTGATGGTTACAGCGCCCTGACTGTGTTCCTGTAACATATGGGATACTGATTTGAGAAAGATATGGCTCTGGAAAAGTCTGATGGACTTTAAAGTAAATAGCAGGTGATTCAGTGAACTCACCGCATTGTCAGAACTGGAAATAAGGCAGGAACATCCAATAAATTAAAACAGACAGACATTTTCACTCTCAGTTTGACTTGAAACTGCCTGTTTATGCAGGGCAGAGTGTTACTGAGGACTGCCTCTGTGTGCTGGTACAAGTATCAGGTACTTATAAACCCATGTTTGCTTGATTGTGCCCCCCATCCCCTCTCATGCTCTCTCCCTCTCTGCTTGGTGTATGGCGCCCCCTCCTGTTCCTCCCGGTCCTCTCACATCATTTGAAGCATTCACTCACAAAGACACACCAACTGTCTCCTGTCAAAACTCAACAATTTCTACATTTAAACTAAAAAAGAGTGTTTTTTTAACCTGTTTTAAACCAAAAATCAAAATAGAGACATCCTCCAGGGGAGTAATTACAACCACAGATACAGTTTTACATTTTATATAATCTTTAATTAGTTTCACACTGGTGGCAGCACACTGAAAAGTTCGCTCTTGTCCTTTAGTCATGTCAAAGTTTCAGTATTTCCTCTGACAACCATGAGATAACATGAAATAGAAATTGAGAAGTCTGTCAGCAATCGAGAAACCTTAGTGATCGAGCACCCACTGGGTGCCAGATGAGGGCCCACAGAGCCCTGGGGTCGGTTTAGGTTAAGCAGGTGAACCCAGGAAAACATATGAGGTCTTTCAATATGCATGAAAGTCGTGGTCATGTGGAACAGTATCCCCTTATATTCTAGGAAATATGGATGTATAAATGATGGATTAAAATAGCATCGGCAGCTGCTGCATCTATTTGCACTGATTCTCAGCATGTGTTTGGGGACATGTGAACTTTAAGATTCCTGAAAAGGTGGACCCATAGTTCACAGAGGACCCCTGGTGTTGTTTTCCTCCCTCTTTCTAGGTATCTGTGTTATTTTTGTTGTCACTGTTTCACCATGTCAATCTGTTGTTGGTTGATTAGACCAGAGTGTTGCAGAGTCCTGTAAAGAACATTATAATGTTGGGAAACCAGCTGTGAATGTGAGGACCTGACTTTTGAAAAATAGCCTCAGCTGAACTCTCTGCTTAATATCCACAGCAGGAGAGGAGAGGAGAAGTTGGCCCCTGTGGTTCGTAGCCTGTGGCCTGAAATATCTCACGCTGATCTGTGGTGCGTATGCAAAGCAGGATATGGCTGAAAACTTTTATTTGTGGTCACTTGACTTCTCTGCAGGCTGTTTCATCAGCATGTGTCAATGCACGGCATCTCTCGAGTTCGTTTAACATTTGTGCAAACTATAAGAGAATTTAGAAATGACAGATAATGTAGAAATAATTTGTCTGATTAAGTGTCACTTGATAAAAATACTTAAATATAATGTTATATTAACAGCCAATTTAACAAATTAAAAATGTAGCCTATATAAAAGCTTATTGTGAAGCAAAGCTGTAAACATGGTACCCTTATCATATTTATTGTGAAATTAATATTACCTATATTTGAAGAGATACACGTCAGTAAAATTTCTTTACACAAAACACACACATATAAATAAATGAACACTGAATAAGTGTCACTTTACAAAAATACTTAAACATTATGTTATATTAACAGTCTGTGGTCAGGTGTTGATTAAATATAAAAACTATATTGTATGTAAAAGCATATTGTGAAGCAAAGCTGCAAACGTGGCATCCTTATATTTATTATTAAGATTATATTACTTAGATTCTGTACAGACGAACAGATGCATGCCAGTAAAATTTCTTTTCACAAAAAATCATATATAAAACATAAAGTTGGGTGCAGATATATGATAATAATAATAATAATAATGATAATAATGTATTTTATTTATAGGCCCCTTTCAAAGCACAGCAAAAAAACAAATTTAAAAAAACAAGCAGCAACGTGTCAACAGTTCATAAAATCAAAGACAAAAAAAAACTAGACAAAAAATATATTATATAAATATATATTGTAAATATTTAAATACATGACTCTAAGGCATTTATTGTGTATGCATTAATGTGTGAGGAAAACAAAATAAAAAGCCTATATGTATTAAAAAATAAGTGTATAAAAGTATGTATTTCAGTGAGTAAACTTTCGGTAAATTAGCGCATAAATTATTACTTTTAATCATGTTTTATGACGCCAAATAAAAGTTAATATATATAAACAGTGTATAAAGTTTTATTATAGAGAACTCCGGGTCTCCTCCTGCTTCGATGGACGTGTGAATCCGCGCATGCGCTGTGCCGCTTCTGTCAGCCAGGGCGGTGATCTCTCTCTCGCGCGCACACTCTTTCTTTACGTCTCTCCCTCTGTGGGAAAAACCCGAGCAGGAGGAGAGCAGCAGAAAGGGGGAGGAGGCGGACTGCTTCTTCTTCTTCTTCCGATACAGCGGCGGCGGCGGCGGCAGGATATTTAGAGAAATAAATCAAAAAGATCCACGCGGCAGCCCCCCCCCTCCCCCGGTGCGGAGCGGCAGAGGAAGAGAAAAACCACACGGATGTGCCTCCGAAAGCGCAGCGGATACCGCCCTCCGGACCTTATTAATGCCAAGATTGTGAGTATCCGATCGGCTGCAGAGCGCAGCCTGAGCACGGGGAGGGGAGGGGTGCTGCTTTCAGTTTAATTTCCCCTTCTCCTGGGCTCCAGTCAGCGGCGGGGCTTCTCCTCGCTCCGCGGTGTTGAGGAAAAGGTCGGGCTCCGTGACTCCTTCCCTCCCTCCCTCCCTTCGTTCCTTCCTTACCTCCTCGGCTCCCCTCTCAGTGACGGGAGGCAGTCTTTGGGGGGGGGAAAGAGGAGGAGAAGGAGTCGAGCTCACCCCGGTGTGTTGTCACCGTTTCTTTACAACGGTTTTCTTAATGACAGCAGCGGGACTGATCCTGACGCTCATCTACTGCCGCTTTATCTGTGACATTAAAACACACAAGCAGCTTGCTGGTAGAAACTGTAACAGGACTTTAAAGGGTCTTCTTACTTTATTTCAGTTTTCCTCCTCTCTGTGTGTCATACTTTCCGCTTAATGTTTCTGCTGTTTAACTCTGGACCCTTCATAGTATGGTTCATAGGGGAGACTGGGGTCAGTTGTAACGCAGGTCAGCAGTTAAGGCCCTTTTCAAACTTGCTGGTATGACAGTTGACCCTTCGCTAAGTCCCGCCCCAGGACGCAGGGTCCGACAACAACGACTCAAACGCCCTGGTCACACTGAAAGCTCGCCTCACTGCCTTTTTAAAAAAAAAATAAATTCCACTAGTGAAAAAGAAAACGCTTGCTACGCCTTTTTATTGTTGCCAGGCAACCATGGACTCCCCTCCTTATTCTCACCTTCTCGTGTAATCAATCTACCGTTCATTTATTTTAGTTAATCGACAGTAATTAGTAGCTACTTCCTGAAATGTTGAGGCAGAGGGTACTTCCTGTGGCTCTGGTTGAGGCTGTCAGCAAATAGTTTGTTGGGCACAGATAAACGGAGATCTGTGTGGGTACATGAGACCCTAAAGAGGAGGCTGGATCATGGGGAGGACCACCAGTTGGTCCAGGAGCTTCTCCTCCATGATGGATGTTGCCAGGCATATTTTAGGATGATTCAGGGGCAGTTTGACAACCTGCTGTCTATCATCGGGTCATTAAGCTCTGGGTATCCAGCAAACGCTACCTCCAGTTTCTTCTCCATTGTTTACCAACTGGAAACTTGTTGTCGTGACCACCGCAGAAGGCCCGCCTCTCAAATCATCTAATTGGACAATGGGATAAACGGTGACGAAAAAGAGATGACGTGGGGCGCTTTTCCACTCTGAGTTGAAGTTATTTCAACGCGAGGAGTTCAGAGCACTCCGATAAAAACACCAGGCGCCTAGAGTGCAGAAACGCAAGGCGTGTCGCAACACAAAAACCACAAAAGCTTCATTCTCATTAAAAACAATTACAAAAAGGCGCCTCCAATTGCTTAAACGCTCCCTGGTTGAGCAGGGCCTAATGCAGTCGTTTCAGATTTCCTTCATTTTCAGGCTGGTTTTATGGATTTGGAACTAAATGTTGTGCGTAGCTTTAGCTAGCTAGCTACTGAAGATATAGCCTACTGAATATATACACCTGCTGCTTTTGCTTGTTAATGATTATAACAGCGGAACAAAGACCGACCCTGCTGTACAGGAACCAGTGAAGGGAAGCAGGGAAACTTTGTGATATTCAACCAGCTGTGTGTCATCACAGTGTGTGCAGATGAACTTTGTTTGACTTCCTGTCCCTGCTTGTCCGGCAGCGGAGGTCCAGGTGCTGGCAGCAGCACGGGGGTGAAGCTAAACACCGTTCATCTGCACACACTGCGATGCCACACAGCTGGTTCAATATCAGCAAAGTTTCCCTTTATATTCATTGTCTTGTGTGGCGATCAGCAGTGATGTGGTGGTTCACTTTTACACTGTGATCTGTAGCCTATAGTTCAGCTTTAGCTTCTAACTATCTTTGTCTTTTTAACCTGTTGTTGCTGCTGAGTCAGTTTGACATCCTGGATATATCCTTCAAACACAGACTGTAGACCCCTCTGTCTGCTTCTCTCTGGAATCACTCTTTTGTTTTTACAAAAATATGATAATATTTCTTCAGGGAGTGCAGTTAGTTACAGTGTGGGCTCCATGCTTACTGCGACAGCTTGTCCGACCATCACAAAGGGGCGGGGCTTAGTGAAGTTAAAAATTAAATTTTGAATTAAACTTCATTTTTGAAATAAAGCCCAGTTTAGACTAAAGATTTATGACGAGACGAGTAGAAACAGGCAACTTCAGCCAGTTCACACCAACGCAACTTTTGTCTGCAGTGCTCTAAAACTGTTTTCTTGTTGCGAATCTTTGGTCTGGACTGGGCTGGACATAGGGTGGGCGGCTTTTGTAGCATTCCCAACCTTTGTTATTCTACGCAAAAATTTTCCCCATTGAAATGAATGGAGGAATGTTCAAATTTGACACAAATTCGAGGTTTTTAAAGCATTTTACAAAGCTTCTTTCTTCATTCATACATTCATGTAGAAACTTTAAAATGTTCCACAGCTTTCGTACATTCTGGCTCGTACTCAACTTTCAAATCTCATTCAAACTTTTTGAAATACCGTCAAACTTCATAAATAAAAGCCTCGTCCCAATTAAACGTCTAGTCCCTTTTACTGGGACTTACTGAAGAGTTATGGTTTGTTCGTAGCCACAATGTTGCTAGGCTAGTGAGTTATTACCTGAGCAACCACAGAGTCAGTTTGCAGGATTGTGTGTCATACTTAGTGTGCATTTGGACACGCCCCATTATCTGAGACAAAACAAAAACAGCATCTGCAGTTTTTCCTCCTGCATCTTAAAGACTTTACTGATTTTGGTATTGGCAATCGATAGAGAATCAGTTGTGTCGGCACATCCCTTAAAGCCGCTACAAGGAACTTTTAACTGGATATGCAAAAGTCTTGTTTCTGCTGATGTCTGTGCGTGACCTACAACAGCAAATGAGACCATCGGTGTGAAGATAAGCTATTTCTATATAGTGTATATCCATACCTTTAGGAAACTGTCTCCAGGTCTGCCCCAGGTTGCTTCCAGGACGAAGAGATTTATAACACTCAGACGGCACACGTCATCTTACTTAGCTGCTTACATTTATAAATAGTCGCTATTCCTCCTCCTTGACCCGACGTCCGCAGGGAGTTAAAATAGCAGCAATCATCGGGTAAAAGTTCTGTTAAAGCAATGGACTCACCAACAGTCAGCCACGTCTCAGTCACACAGAGAAAATCCAATCCTCTGGAAGTCAGGAAATCTTTCAGGATAAACGTTTTGTTCACTAGCGATCTAGCATTTACCAGCCCAATCCTGGCAGGAGCCGGCGGGGATGAGGAGAGCAGGGGCCGCGGGGCTGGAACACCTCATCCGGGCCGACGACAGGTACCAGCCAGGCGTCGACAGGGTCCAGCGAGTGCCGAGAAATAAAGAGGCGAGGCAACGCTCCATACTCTGTCCAAAAAGCCGTGGAAGTGCTCGCCAAACAGGCCTTCAGCCTTACCAGCCGACCGCTGCGTTTACCTCGGCGGCGGTGGTGCTTACGCCGGAGACGTGGAGCTGGGGCGTGGCAGAGGTGAGCTGAGATCCCCGATAGGAGCGGGGGCAAAGTTTTCCCGTCTTGTTGTTTCATTCTTCTCTAAAACAAACACATGCGTGAGCCAGGTAAGCGTCTTTACGACAATACGCGCTAGAGCTCATGGGAAATGTTGGCTTCATTCTGGCAAAACACTACTGCTTTTGTCCACAGGGTCGCCAAAATCAACTCAAAATGAAAGCTCCTTGTAGGGGCTTTAAATGGGATAGACTGTATATAAATAATGGACATAGTCACTGTGACATCACTCATTGGTTTGTGGACTCCCGTTTTGAAGCCTCAGGTTTGGTATTTTAGCAGTCTTGGATTTTTGGAGCCAGAAATGACCAGATTTGGACGAGAGGGTGGAGCTGTGGAGGAGAGAGGGGTGGATCTGAAGCTGAGGGCACTATCTGCAGACAACCTGTTGCTCAAAGCAGCCATGCCTCTAATTATGTGTAACTTTAAGCCTTAACAAAGTTAAAGCGGGTAAGTTATTTAAACATTCACCCCTGTACAGCTGTCACTAATGGGGTAAGTCGCTACAGAGACCCAAATTGTTTTTTGTTTCAGGCTGTGAACATGCTTATTTCTGCTGTAAAGTTGGATATTTTAACAGCGTTGTCCGAAGGGATTGACTTACTTTTGGAGTCTGCCTCAAGTGGTCATTAAAGGAACTGCAGTTTGTGAATCTCTGTGAATGCAGCAGTTTGTTGAGTTTGACTCGTGGGGTGGCGAACTGAGGAACAAACTGTTTGATCATCACCCTCAAGACTTGCTTTGGATCAGTTTGTGGTCAGATCGATCATAGCTGATCGGATCAGATTAATGGATCTGCTGCCGCAGAGGCGAGTGAAAGCAGTTTTTTATTTATTTTTTTGTGCTGGTCAAACCCACCATGTGGTGCTTGGTTATCATGGGAGCGTGGCTGGTTCCATCTAAATTAGTTTGGAAAAACATTTATGGCACCAAAACTATATGGAGAGAATTACAGCAAAAAAAAAAATGTAAATGTGGCAACAAATGCTTATATGGTGGCCGTGTGCCACAAATAAACGAATGTGTGGTAAACCCTGAAGACTTTTTGGCCAGATCACCAACCAAGTGCTTAGCATTAATATTTATACATCATCAGCATTGAAAAGTGAAAATGAACTGTGGTTGTTGTTCCTCATAGGACTGTGAATGCATACATTTTAACGCTGGAATTAAACCCCTAACTTGGACAGAGTTATTGCCTTGCTCTACCCATGTTACACATCCCCCCCTATTCCTCTAAATTAGCTCTGGTTCTTGATCTGGTTCTGTTCAGAACTCTTGGGACCTTCACCTGCGAACTTTTGTGCCGTTAATACTGATGTTTGTTTTCACCCAAAAAAGCAAGCATGGATCAACTATTAAGACCACTGTACCCTCTTTTTTTCCTAACCATTTCTAACTTGACTTCT